AATGGAATCTGAGCTTCCTGCATGAAGGTGAGAACTCTACCATCGAACCACCACTGTGTCTCACTTACAACTTCCCGATACCCACTTTATTGAGAAATATGACTTTCAAGGATTTCTAGCAATTATTGTTGTGAGGTGCCGATGCTGAGTTGATTCAGACTCATGGCGACCCCACATGTGTAGAGTAGGGTTCTCAAGGCTCTGACCTCCTGGAAGCAGGTGCCTCTGGGTGGTTTCAAACCACCAACCTTTTGGCTAATAGGTGGGTGCTTAACCATTTACATCAAATGACTATATAATGATCAGCAGCATTTCATAAGGGATAACTGCGGGGTGCTGCAATGAACACTTCACAGGAATGACTCCTTTCAGTATTGTTACATCCATTTTATGGATGAGAACACTGAGAGTCGGCAATAGTCTGTGGTTGCCCAATGGCACAGAGCTTGTGCAGATGGCAGGCCGGGACTTCGATTGGACACCCAGGTTCAAACCTGAACCATCCACCCTGTAGCCTTCCTGGTCTCCAGCTGGGTCCCAGCCCTCACCGCATTAAGGCCGCACAGCTGGTAGCTGGCCATGGTGATGATCACGGTGATGACCTGCCAGCGGACAAAGGGGCTCCTTAGCAGCTCCAGGACAGACACCACACGGATGTTCCTCTGCACGCGGCTCTCCGCCTGGACCTCCTCCACTTCTCGCGAAACATCCTCTTTGCCCAGGAATGTCTGGAAGGCTGCAAATGGGGACAAGATGGACACTCAGCAGGAATTCAGATGCTTGCCGTGTCTAACGCTGGGCCTGCAGGGGCAGGTCCACCACACACACAGTCACATCCCTTGTCAGGGGACAGAGCTGGCAGGAGCCTGGGAAGCCATGAAGGCCAAAGCCCCTACTTTACAAATGGGAAAACCAAGGCCCAGTGAGAAGAAATGACTTCTCCATGTCTCCCAGCTGGCTAGGAGAGGGGCCAGGCCATCACAGAGAGCAGAATACATCCAGGGTTTGGAGAGACAGAGACCTGAGTTCAAGTCCAGTCTCCACCACTGGACAGTGTTGCATCAGCTTCCTTTTCTGTAATCGTTCCTGCCTCACATGGTTGTTGTAATAACTGGATGAGACTATGCATTTCAGAATACTGAAAATACCACGGACACCCAGAAGAACAAATAAATCTTTCCTGGAAGAAGTGTAGTCGGAATGCTCCTTGGAAGTGAGAATGGCCAGACTTCATCTCGCCTACTTTGGTCATGTTGTCAGAAGGGACCATTCCCTGGAGAAGGGTGTCACGCTTGGTGAAGTGGAAGGTCAGTGAAAAAGGGGAAAATCCTCAAAGAGATGGACTGACACGGTGGCTGCAATGATGGGCTCAGGTATAGCAAGGATTGTGAGGCTGGCACGGGAGCAGGCAGTGTTTCATTCTGTTGTACACAGGGTCAGCATGAGTTAGAACCAACTCGACAGTTCCTATCCACAACAATATTTATATCAATCTCACTGGTTCAACTCCTTTAGAGAGCTCTGACTAAGACACACCTCCTGTGTGGCCACTCTCATGGGAAGTGTCCAGATAGAGGTTATATTGCCCCTTGACTAGGATACTCAGAGTCAATTCTGTCCTTGAAAGCACTGACCTAACTGGCCTTAATGATCCTTTTCACATCATCCTCTAACATTTGGACACCCTGGGTGGAAATCTCCTTTAGTGTGCCTAGAATTCAGCCCAGTGACTTAGGCCTTTTCCATGGTGGGCCCTGCAAACTTCTAGGCTCAGAGACTCTTGTCACTTTTTTTTTTATTTTTTTTATCAAGCTTGTAATTGTGCACACCTCCACAGATGTATGCCTGGAGGTGGGCTAACTGATTAGACCCCCGAGACCACAGTCATCAGATCACGGGAGATGATTCCAGTACACGTATTTAAGTAGCGCTCTGACACTCATCCTCATATAGGGAAAGGCGGCCACTGTGACGGCTCCCGTGGACAGTCCATTCCAGACGCAGTGGGCATCGTCCTTGTAAACACTGCTCTGTGCCACGAGGCATGTGAGATTGCTCTTCTTAACAGCAAGAGAAGCTGTTAAATTGGCTCCAGATTGAGCAGGAAGCAAGCCCCTGTAGTCACTGGGCTGTTATTTCCTGCAGTGCCCCAGAGCTGCTTCAGAAAGTCTCTTTTGTGAGCTGTGATTTAACACTTCTCTCAGATTTGTTGAGGGAGAACCTGAATGAGTAAAACTTTTGCATCATGCAAAGGTGGCCATGTGTTGTGTGTGCCCCTGAGTTGATTCCAACTCTTAGTGGCCCTATAGGACAGAGTAGAACTTCTCTATAGGATTTCCAAGGCTGTAATCTTTACAGAAGCAGACTGCCACATCTTTCTTCCATGGGCGGCTGGTGGGGTCCAACCACTGACCTTGCAGTTAGCAGTTGAGTTCTTAACCATTGTACCACCAGGACTTGGCTGTTAACCTATAGGTCAGTGGTTTGAGCCCACTGGCTGTACCACAGGAGAAAGATGTGGCAGTCTGCTTCTGTTGTAAATGCAACATTCAGGTAATACAGTAATCCTAGAATTCTCGGGCAGGAAAACATTCCCCTTTCCTCCCGTACATGTGTGTTTTCTTTTACGAAATCTTTTTTTTTTTTTTTTCTTTTCACTTTTTTTTTTCGGCTGCCAGGAAGCTCTTGGCCAAAATCAGTAGTCGGTTCTTAACAGTTTCTCTTCCCCATCTTAAAAGTTTGCTCTCTTCTTCTTTTAAAGCATTCGTTTAGCATTCCTATTATATTTGTGAATATCATATTGAATAATCTGCCAGAAGAACAAACAAGTCTGTTTTGGATGAAGTACAGCCAGAATGTTCCTTAGAAGTGAGGATACCAAGACTTCATCTCATGTACTTTGGACGTGTGGTCAGGAGGGGCCAGTCCCTAGAGAATGACATCATGCTCGGTAAAGCAGAGGGTCAACACAAAAGAGAGACCCTCAATGAGATGGATTGACACAGTGGCTGCAACAAGGGGCTCAAAC